TAATAAAAAGAATCTAAACCACCACATTTTACCAGACAGATGTGACTGATCGATCACAGTGTCCCTTCCCTTTAAGCCTTGACTTCAGAATCTTTCTCACAACAGAACCAGTGGATCGGTCAGTTTGCCATCCCCGACAAACAACAGAGGTGGCACTCCAGGACTGGCCTTCAACTAGAGGCCCTACAAGCACAGCTACAGGAAGACAGTGCCAGCAATGAATGTCCTTTGATTCCCTGCTCAGGGCTGCCGAGTCCTTCCTGGCAGAGTTCCTCCTGAACGAATAGCAAATTTTATTTCAAAGATCAGCTGCAGCTGCCAAGTTAAGCCCTGTCCATGGACAGACACCAGAGTGACTCAGGCTGTCACAAGAGGGTGATAATGGCCCCATGGTGCAAGCTGAACATATCACATCCTGTTGGGCCAGATGGGCGGGCAGCATCTTATCTCTGTTTCTTATCCCCACCTGGAAAGCATTCAGCACAGCCTGCCTCACAGGCCCTCTGCTTTTTTCTGCAATCCGCACTTACACCTGATCACATAACAGGGCAAGTGAAAGGCCGGAGACACCCAGCCTGAACGTGAATAGCAGGCTAGAAAAAGGAAAATGCCCTGAAATTGCTGGTTTGGAGAACAGGGTCCAAGCAGTTTGATGGAAGCCTGAAATCTGGTAAAACAAATCTCAGCACTGGGAGACGGGACAAGCATCTGTGAACTGTGGCTGCTGGAACACTAGAAAAAAGGTGCTGAAAGAGGCTTGCAAATTGGATGGAAACTCTCAGTCAGGCACATCCAGACATTTCCAGTTTCCAGAGAGCTCCACCAGCACGGGAACACCAGCCAGGGCCTACGAGAATGCGAACAGCCCCAACATGCTGACCCGAAGGTTTCCAGTGTTGGGGGTGAGGCGGGAGTTGTCCTGCACCATTAAACCTGAACTGGCTAGCTAGGCCTTCCCTGGTAACTTTATTTCCTCTTTCTCTTCAAAAGGTGTTTGTGCCCAGAGAAGGGAGGTTATTTTTGAGCTTGGCCTGAGCAGAACTTAAGCAGGAGTGAAAATATTAACTAGGGAAAAACTATCAACAGTATCTCAGAACTAAAGAAGACCTGGATTGGAACAGCCAGGTCATGAGTCCCACCATCATCACTAGGCGCTCCCTGCATGTGTGGTCCAGGTGCATCCCAGGGACAGGCCACTGTTAGAGAGGATGCATGGGCAAGACACACAGAACACAGGAGGTTCAGCTCAGACATCCAGGACTTAACTATTTATGCACAAAGTCAAAATCTACTACCCAGATAAAAGCAGCTTAAGAATCATCAAAAAAAAAAAAAAAATCTTGTGTCAGTTCGAACATACAAAATTGTCAATACAATACAAAATTTGAATTTGCCAATGTGGTAATTCTTGTGGTTCAGGCTAACAGTAGCCAGATCTTTCAACTCATGAACACCAGAGTAGCTTTTAATGGTACAAAGGAATTCTGTTAGCCAGAATCGGGTGACTCCTTTTCTAATTAAAAAACAATAATAATGCCTCCACTTTATGACTCGATGTTTAATTGCCTGCTTAAATAAGGGTTCTACTAACTTGAGAGGTATTTGAACCCACTGATGCATATCTATAGCTCACAGACAAGACTTTTATTGCAAACAGATAAAAGCAAAATCCCTACATAATTTGGGAGCAAAAAGAAGACAGAAGCTCTTAGTCAACCTGAATTCCCTGTACTTTCACCATCTGTAAGTGCTAAGCATGGATTCCAAGCTTGGCAACACTCCAGTGAGGCTGTAACACCAAGCAGGAACATTAGACTCCCCTGTTCTGGGCTTTTCTGTCTGAGTCACAGGTCTGAAGCTTCAGTCACCAGCTACCAGGCCAGGCTGCCCAGTCTGGGAGCTGGGACCAGGACAAGATTGCCTCTACCTAGTGTGCTCCACATTGCTCCAGTCCAGCAGTACCAGCGTTCTTGGGGATTGGTGAGAAACACAGTCTTGGGCTGCTCCCCAAACCTCTGCAGCAGAGACTCAAGGTCGAGCAGCAATCTGGATGTCACCAGGGTGTTGTGATGAATATATCAGTAGTTTCCCAGCCATGCTGATGGGAAACCCTGAGGTGTGGAGCACCTGCTTGCCTGGAGTCCTGTTCACAGGAAGAGCACAGGAGACTCCTGAATGTCAGAGAACAGCATTCTCCATAGTACAGCTGGAAGGCTTCACTTGGAAAACTATTCTGGTTTTCTGTTTTTTAATTAAAATACAGAAAAGATGAGGACACCAATAGCCATAGGCAATCTAAATCACTGAGGGAGCATTCTAGATGATTTGGGCCCAGGTTTCTGGGTTATCCAGAAAAACACCCCACCTCCTTCCAAAGCAGCCGTGGCCCTCTCTGGAGCAAGGGGCACACATGATTCCTCCAGGAACTTCGGTAACAGAGAATGGGCATCAAAGCCTCTGTCCTTTCAACCAAAAAAGGCATAATTGTCCCTTTTTACTATTCAGAAAGAATGCTCTAGAAATGTAAGACTGTGGTACTAAAGGATAGCAAGACAGAGATGGTAGGAAAAGACGGAGCACCCCCTATCCCCTCAACACTACACTTACAGGGATAGAACCCCAGGCCTTTTCACCTGTGCTGCACCCCTGGATCTCCAAGCCCTTTTTTTGTTTGCTTGGTTTTTGTTGTTGTTTGTTTCTGAAACAGGCTCTCGCTAAGTTGCTAAACTGTGCAGGGTGGGCTCAAACATGCGGTCTTCCTTCCCCAGCCCTCTCAGGTTGCTAAGATTACATGTGTGCACCACTATTTGAGCTTCCCTTTTTACATTTTTAATTAATTTTAATAGACATATTAAAGTGTTTAATTTAAGCGACTTTCTAACTTACAGCACCAACCTGCTTCTGAAGGGAGACAAACCTCCCACAAGGGCTACAGCAACCCAGCTTTTCCTCCAGCCCTCCCCTTCCCCGCTTCTCTGTTCTGCTCTTAGCAGGAAGGGGAGGAAGGTCCTTTAGTGGAGTAGACAGGTAGGGCCACTTCTGAGGCTGAGAAATCAACACTGCACACTTTCTTAGCTAAGAACACTCTGCTTAGCTTCACCAACAATTTGGTAGCTATGTCCAGTTGCTGCTCGCCACTCGCAGTCATGTCCACAATAAAGTCTGCACACAGGGTACAAGCCAATGCTGAACCACTGTTCCCAGGGGAAGGATGGGTCAGGTTCCCATGAGCTTCTGGGCACCAGACTCTCGCCAGCAGGTCAACAAAAACATAACCTTCTGTGCACTGTGCTTCTGCTTAAAGGCATCCTGCTTCATACCAAATGCTGATCCACCAGCACTGGACTCTCGCCAGTGGCACTGTGACTCATGCCACAGCAAAGATTCTCTAACTTCAGGCACACTCAGAAGAGCCCCTCAGCACCATCCATGGGGTCATCTTAAATGGCAGAATCAACAACAGATGCGCTAGACACATACCATGAAAACAACAACGCTTGCTCGCAGTATGAGAACTGAAATATCAAGAAAAAGTGTTGCCTTGTTTGACCTCAGCAGAAGATAGCTGTGTCAGATGAATCCAAGTTTTCACTGCTCTGGAACATGTCGGCAAAGGACTGAGGAAGAGCCACAAGTACTGTGTTGGAGGTTATAAACAAATGCCAGAGAGTAATCAAACTCACAAATATGGAGTCAGGGAATAATGAAGACCAAGGCATTTTGTGGTAACCTTGGGTCTCTAAAATCAAATCAACCAAGTCCTCAGCACCAACAGCATCTAGGTCTCACTGCCCATCCTTTTCTGCATTCTGCGGTCACTCTTGGTCAGAGCCACCCGGACTCAACTTCTGCGAGAGGCAAGGCTCAGGTCAAAGCAGGGCAGCTGTGCCCCACCTGCTTCAATACAGCTCTATGACTCACTGGTAGGGTGCCCTGGAGCCCGTTAACAGATCCCAGCCTCAGTCTAAGTGCCTGGGAAACACAATCAGAATAACACCTCCTCCAGACCATTGTGAGGATTTGCTGAGATGCTCCAGCTGGTCCACAGCACACAAGTGTCTGGGCAAAAGGGAACTGGAACAAGTCACTTCAAACAGTCCTGGGGTAGGCAGGGGGCATTAGAAGCACCCATCATTGTCCCAGCTGGACTTCAGTGCTCCTGAGAGCCATCCTGCTGAGTCCTCCATCCTCTCTCAAGGAAGTCCTGTATCCCTTTGTGCTCCCAATTGAGGTGCCCAACTAAGATGGCTGCATCAGAGGAGGTGAATGCAGCTCACTTTCCAGTGACAATGTTCTGTTTACTGTCATAAATTTAATTCAAACATTCACAGTATATTCTGGCCATCCCTTGTACATAGGCTTGTGAGGTGATTCTGAGCAAGCTCAGTCTAAATGCAAAGGTTGCATGTGGAGGATGAGCAGAAATTGAACCCAGACCCCAGTGTTGATGAAGAACCATGCCCGGCATAGGGTTGCTGTGGTACGAGGGACAAGGGGAAGTAAAGCTGGGGGGAGGAGGAGACCCTGAAAAGATCGCAGTTGGGACCTCAGGCCTCTGTGCCCAGCAACAGCCCTACAACCTGGTTCCTCTATCGGTGTGCTGCGGGCTCTGCTTTTCTTGGACTCCTAGAAATGAAATGAATGAAAGCAAGCAGCTGACCCAGCTCGTGTCCCAGGAGGCCCATCAGATAGCCCACTAAACCATCCCTGAAACAGCAGAAATACACACTTCACCCTGGAGAATCTCTGATTGGTGACTACAAGGGAACAAACCGCTAAATGGCCCTTGTGGGGAAAGGGAGCAGGGGTCTTTCTGTGACACCACAGATCATTCCTAAGGCCACAAAGAGAGGCTGAGCCCTGGCACACATCTGTGGGGAACAGAGCGCAGATGCCGTGACGAGATAAGAGAAAAACTGAATAAGAAGAGGAGAAAGAAGGGAAGAGCATTTGGGACAGGGCCCCGGAGCACCACCACCACCAGCCCCAGCCCCTCGTACCTCTGAGCTGTCAGATCCGTAGAGACACCAGCAGCAACACGGTGGTGGGAGGAGGTAGCTATGGGTGGGTTTTCCAGGTCTGTGGGGGCAGATGGCTGGATGACATCATCTGTTACAGGTGAGCTGAGAAGAGAAAAAAACCCTCAAAGTTCAAAACTATTCCTAGAAGCTGCAAATGCGTCTTAACAGCACATTTCGTCAGCTCTCAGCAGGACCTCCATTTCCCTTTCTGTGATGGAAGCATCTATGCTGTTCACAGGAGGGTCCACAGAGGATGCTGGTCTGGGAGAAGCCTGTCACTAGCCCATGGCAAGTTAAGTATACAAACAAGGAGAAGAGTTTAGGAACCTTTATAGTAATTTGAGAGCATGTCCACTGAATCTAAAAACAAAAAGTCACAGCTTTTGCTCTGTAGGTCTTTGATGCTTCTCAATCAGGGATACCAGCCAGCACCTGCCTATAATCCCAGCACTCGGGAGGCTGAAGCAGGAGAACCATTGTGAGCTGTGGCCAGCCTGGGCTACAAAGTGAGTTTGAGACCAGCCTGACATACATTGCAAGACCCTGTCACAAGAAAAAGAAAAAAAAAATCATGGACACTAGCAATCTCAGGAGACATTTTTGGCTGTCACATCTGGGGCTGGGGGTAGCTACTGGCATCTAGAGGGCAGAGACCAACATCCTATAGTACCCGTGACAGTCCCCTGTGGCAAATGATTATTTGCCCCAGATGTCAACAGTGTTGGATTGAGTCTTTAAATTTTGGGGCCTGATTTTTTAAAATTCTTTATATGGTCTAGATAGAAGTTCTCTGAGGGACAGTTGGCTAAATTTTTTTCCTGCTCTGTGGATTTTCTTTTCACTCTGTTAGTGATTTCTTTTGATGTGCAAAAACTTTTTTAAAAGATGAGATTCCAGTTGTTGATCCTTTGAAGTACTTCCCATGCAGTTCGGTTTCTGTTCATGAACTTTCTGCCTTCCCCTGTGGTTTCAAGGTTTCTACCTACTTTCTCTTCTAGGAGATTTAGTGTTTCTGTTTTAATATTTAGATCCTTGATCCATGCTGATTTTAGTTTACTGCCTGGTGATAGACATGGGTCTTGTTTTAGTCTTCAGCATGTGGAAAACCAGTTTTTGCAGCACCATTTATTGAAGAGACTATCTCTCTTTCAGTGAACATGTTTGGTCCCTTTGTTAAAGATAAGGTGGTTGAACTCCACTGATCCTCAGGTCTGTTTGTTTTTCGTCAGTACTCTGCTGATTTATCATAGGAGCTTTGTAGTATAATTTCAAGCCAGGCATTGTGCTGCCTCCTGCCTTGTGTTTGTTGCTGAGGATTGCCTTAGCTATTCTAGACCTCTTCTGTTTCCAAATTAATTTTAGGAATATTTTCTCTAGATTTATGAGGTATACGAATGGCATTTTGCTTGGGATTGCATTATATCTGTATAACAATTTTGGGAGTATGGCCATTTTCACAATGCTGGTTCTTCCCACTCACGAGCAAGGGATATCTTTCCATTTTCTGATATCCTCTTCCTCTTCAGTGTATAGATCTTTTACTCCCTTTGTTAGATTGATTCCTAAGTATTTCATTTTTTTGTAGGTGTTTTTCCCTAAGACCCAGTGCAAAAATGGGCACTTGCATGAGATGACTGCATACTTGTCAGATGAAGAAATATAAACAGCAAATAAACACATGAAAAAATACACACCACCATTGGTCACTGGAGAAATGCAAATAAAAAAACAATGACAGGCCATCTCACCCCAGAAAGAATGACTATCATCAAGAAATCAACCAATAACAAATGCTGATAGGACTGTGAGGAAAAAGGAACACTTCTCCATTCTTGGTGGGAGTGTAGACTGATAAAACCACTGTGGAAATCAGTATGGGGATTCCTCAAAAAACTAGGATTAGAGATCCCATTCAACCTAGCTATTCCCCTTCTCGGTATTTTCCCAGAAGAATTAAAAACATCACACTACAGTGGCATATGTGCACCCATGTTTATAACAGCACAATTTGTAATGATTAAATCTTGGGAACAACCCAAAAGCCATCAACCAAGGAATGGATAAACAAGATGTGGTAATTCTACAGAATGTAGTACTACTCAGCTATAAAGAATGATAAACTTGAGGCTTCTATAGGTAAACGGATGCAACTAGAGACCATACTCATATGTAAAATAAATCAGTCTCACATGTGTGAACATTGTATTGTCTATCTAGTGTAAAAAACAGAAACAGTAAATAACACCCAAAACTTAACAATAGATATAGTGAAAGGGAAAGAAACTGCTCAAAAGGAAAGAACGGTTACAATGGGGAAAAGAGAAAAGAAAGAAGGGAAAACTATATATATATATATATATATATAGTTTATAAATAGCATATATATAGTATAGCATATAGTTTATATATAGTATATACAGTATATATAGTATATATACTATAATGTAGTTACTATATATACTATATTATATAGTATATAGTATAGTGTATATTATATAGTATATATTATGTTATATAGTATATATGCTATATAGTATATACTATAATATAGTTACTATATATACTATATAATATATATACTATATATACATAGTATATAGTATATATACTATATATGGTTTATATATAAACTATATATATCATGTGATAGCTAATATAATTATATTTCTAATTTTCATTAATTCATTGAAAAGAAGTTTGTGCTTACATTATTTGACCAACTTTGCGTGCCTATATTTTGTAATCTGGGCAGCTACTTTGTTTTTTGTTTTTTGTTTTGTCTTTTTCATTTTTATCGGTACCAGAGATCGAACTCATGACCGCCTGCTTGCAAGGCAGGTGCTTATGCCGCTGAGCTAAATCCCCATCCCCTGGGCAGCTACTTTGAAGATAACAATATGCAATATATTAACCACTGTTAATTTCCTATTATCTTGTTTTGAAACTCTGTATTGATTTTATTGGTTTTTCTCCCTCCTTAAAATAAAAAAAAAACATATGGTTGGCATCACGAAAGCCTGGACTCAAGTTTTGTTTCATTTTCCTAGTAATTTATCTAATTTCATTTCAAAAAGTTTTGATATTCAACAAGTTAGAATTTTAAAGACTGCCCTGGTCTTTCCCTGGCTGAAAGAAAAAAAAAAAAAAACCAGAAAACTGATCCTGGAAAATTCCCAAGGGCCGGCAGTTTCCAAAAGTGCTGAGACATAGGCACACCTTTCTTTCTGATGGGCTCTGTGGCAACTCTGCTTGTAGCCGTAAGTAATGTGACCATGACCTTCATTCCCTAAGCCTCTGCATTTATTGAATGCCTGATCTATATTATGAGCAAGACAGAAATGGGTCCTCATGGAGCCTGTAGTCTCAGGCAAAAGGCAGGTATTTTTAAATGCTTATTTTTTTTATAATAATGGTAATAACTGCTAAGACAGTCACGACAGACACATGAGGAGTTCCTGATCCAGAGTCAGGTCAAAGAAAACTTCCTTGGGAGTGCTGAGTAAGCAGAGGTTGGCTGGGCAGGTCTGGGATGGCGAGGTTTACTGATGCTTACTGTATACAATGGTGTCTTCTAAGCATATTTATACATACATTGCCATGTTTGGTCCTCAAACAATCCCATGAAATGGGAGCTATTATCATCCTCACTTATTAGCTAAGGTACAGAGAAGCACTGTACAGCTGCTAAGTGGCAGAATGAGGACACAAACCCAAGCCCGACTCCAGAAGTCCCATTTGTCATCTCTAGGAGCCACAGTGTGTTTGAAAGCCATGATCAGGAAGGAGTTTATGGAAGAGCACCAAAGGTCAGCATAAATAGTGTCGATAAAGAAGGGAGAACTACAAAGAGCAGAGGTGGACAGAAGCCAAGTCACAGGAGGAATTGGGTCTTGGTCCTAAGCCAAAGGATAAGCCCAAGCTTCTATCAAATATTTAGCCACAAAACACTGCAACTTGGCATCAAGATGAATGAAAATGGGGATGTCCAGGGTAACTTCCCAAAACTACTCTAAACAGGACTGAAACTGCCCAGAGTGGGGCCCACATACCTCTACTGATTCCCCATGGTTCCCATCTTATTCTCAGTCCCACAGGATCAGATCTGGAACCCTGAGGCCACACCCAAGAACACAGACACTGGTGCAAGAACAAGGGAAAGGAAAAGCCAGCCGTGGAGGAGGAAAAACAGCAAGGACTCTGGCTGCCTTCGATGGATTGCAATTTGGAGAATTCTGAACTCGGACAAAATTAACTTTCCAACATCAGAAAGTCAGAGTGGAAAAGCAACCTAGGAATTTTGGCAAAACAATGTGAAAGACAGAGAAGACTTTATTTCTTCTGACACAGCCCTGTATTTCCAGAAGTTTATTTTAAGGAGATGATAAAGAAGGGGAAAAACCAAAACGCCCAACAGCAGGGGACAGCTAGCCAAATGAGATGCAGCCATAGAACAGACTTGTTTGCAACAGTTATCAACAGGGAAGGTAACGCTGTACGCATGGAAATGTGTTCATTATTAGTTGAAAATGGGGTAAAACTATTGGCAGCATGCTGAGATTCTTTGTGTATACCACTGTGTGTTTCTATAAATACACAGATGCAGAAAGCAGAGAACAGACTGAATGAGCCAATAAGCAATGACAGAAATATGCAAAAGTGTTAAAAGGAACTACCTTTCAGTAGTAAAATAATCGGTGTTTTTTTTCTTCTCAGGCTCTCTTTTTCTTTACCAGTTCTCTCCTGAGTACAAACTGCCTTTATAATCACAGTAAGGAAAAAAAAACTTATTTGAGAAAAAGTTTAAAGATCAGAAACAACTTCAATTCACAATTCAGTGAAAGCCTTACAAGATAGAGACAACCAATACAACGCTGTCTTTCCTTCCTTCTATAACTTACGTTGTTGTGATGACTAGATTTGCCAGTCCCATGCCAAGACACAAACATACCCACAACTCATTTACTAGGCATTGCTGAGGAAAACAAAGATTGCAATAGGGAAGTTTCAGAAGACAAGTGCTTGCCAATATCTCTTGGTGCGGAATTATTTTTCAAAGCATATTGGACACTTTCCTTATTTTTTGAATGGGGACTCATACGTAA